CGCTCTTCCCATTTTCAGGGAGCACACACATACTAATGAGCCTCAGGTTGTCCTGGCAAGGTAGCCCGGAAGACTGAAGAACAAGGTGTCCTGCCTGTGCTTGGGAGCAAAGAACCGCAGATAAATTGGATAGATTTGATTTGGCTGTAGTCCTTTTAACATTGCACTTGTGTAAGGAGAGGTGTTTCTCCCTGTGCATATCCCCCATTTTAAGGCCCACGCTGAGAACGCACAATCTCATATAAAACGTGGGAGACCTGAAGCGTCAAATGGGGGCATGACTGTAGAATCGGGGCGAGTGGGAATTGTTATCTATCACTTAAGGGGTCTTAAGGGAAGCTGTGATCAAGGAGTGGATGGAAGAGGTCAAAGGTCTCAGTTCTAAAACTGGGAGAGAATCTGATTCGCTAGGACTTACTGTGTGACACAAAGTTTTCCAGGGGCACTTGAGCTAACTGAAACCCATGTCTGACTTGTGCAGAACCAAGTTTGTGGTGTTTGCACTTATATGTGTACCGTAATCATTGCTTACAATACCTGGTCACCGTGCTCCAAAAATAAAAACAAATTGCAGCTCATCAGTTGACCGTCTTCTCTCCCCACTAAACTAATTATTAGATTTTTTAAAAGTAACAGTTTGGAGCTTTGCTTTATGCACTTTCTGGGACTCTGGCCTTCAGGAGTCACCTTTCAAGCTTTCTTCTGCAAGCATGAGAAACAGACTGTTTTTTTTCATATTCATACAGATTCAGGAAAATGGGCTTACAGGAAAACACCAAATATCTCAAGGCTCAAGTTAAAATTGTGGAAGCACTCAATTTTCAAAATATATTTACATTCTTGGAAGTGATCCTTCTCTGGATGGACAGGAATTAAATAAACATCTCAATTTGGAAGAGTGAGGAAGAGTGTTTTCTTCCTCAGTGTACTAGTAGGGAGATTGTAATACTTCTACCTTCTTTCAGATAATTAAACTGAAGATGATCTGTCAAAATCAAGTGGGTCTGTTCCACCTTTTCCTGCCATGCACTGGTTGACGTGAGCTCATGTGTCTCTGTGATACCTTGTAGAGAACAGCTTTATTAATACTAATGTGAGTTTCAAGGGAATGCTGTGGATTGACTGGACTTGCCTACAGAAAAAAAAGGATCAATTCAAATCCATATTTCTTGAATCTCTTATTGGATGGTAAATAGACTGTTCTTTGGAGTGGAAATGCAACATTAGAATAATTTTGTTTAAACTCAGGCTGTAAATCTTTGATGTGGACAACATAACCTTCAACGATTTCACAATTTTGCTCCGCATAGTTGTGAAATCAGCCTGAAAATGCGTGTTAGCTAAGGCAATGCAATAATGCAGATTTGTAGCTTATGTACTTATAACCATACAGACAGGCATAGAGCGTTTCTTCTCCCAAGTTTGAATATTTTAAAACTTTTGTGACAACTGTGAAATCCTGCTGCAGCAGGATGAATAAAAAGTTGATTTGCTTGTAGTTTACCAGAAGAACTATTCTTGGCCTGCCAGGATAAGCAGTTCTTTATGTATCTCCACATTTGCACTGAATACGTTAGATCCCTTCCATATATATTTTTACCGTGGAAGGATGACTCCGAAGTACAAATCAGAGTTTGAATCAGCTAAAAAAACTGGCAGAGGTGGATAACAAAGTAAGCTATTGCTTTATTGCTTCATGTCAAAGATACAGTCATGGGTTAGAGGATGTGAAAATTTGCGGAGCCACGTTTGGAAATCTCAGTGCCCCCTTCTGCTGCACACTGACGAGCTGTGGGGCTTTTGTCCAAATGGCTTGTCTGTCAGCTACGCAGAGGCTCACTTGAATTACAGCCTCACAAAAGTGCGTTCAGAGAAGAGAGATACTCTGCGTACAGCAGAATGCTGGGTGTTCGTCACATTAGAATGAATTAAAATAGCTGAAAGAACCAAGTAGAAAATACAAGGCAGCCTACAGAATATTTAACCACCTGTTACAATTTCAGAAATAATTGTTACTTGCCATTGAATTCCAAAGAATGTGGGGGTTTTTCCTAAAAAAAAACCTATAGAAAGCATCATATTCTCTGTTAAATTCTGCAGACCTTACCTTTAAATAGAATATAGTTCTGCAGTGCAGAACCCTATTAAATGTCTTTTGTTTCTTGATTCTATAAGACTTAAAGTGTGACTGTATATTGCAGCTGTTATTCCTGCTAATGTTACCTACTAAAGTGATTAATAAAGATTGCCATGCATTATTTTCTATCAGTGCTACAGGCAGTACTGTAAATCGTTTACTGCATAGACCTCTCAAACAAATGTTTGACAAAGGAGGGGAGGATGTTAAAGATTAAATTGACTGTGCTGTACATCAAGCAAGACATTTACAGTCATTGCCATATTTGTAGTCAGCCCATGTCCACTTTGAAACCTATAGTAATTTTTCTTTTTCCAGAAAATACTTACAGTGCCAGGTAATTTCAGCTATGCTTACTATGAGCCCTGCTTGGCTTGTACTAAAGTGTGAGAGCAATAAGATTCTTTCTTTCATTACTTTCGGAGATATAGTCTATGTCAGGTTGATTTCTTCCTTTATAAACTGTCAATAAAATACATACGCTGAAAAAATAAAGTAGTTTTTTAATATGATGAGAGCCCTGCAATAAACAAGACCTGCCAATATTCAGAAAATGATGGGTAGGAAGGTGCTGACTTTTTATTGTTAAAATCATCACCTGCATGTATTAAGTAAACGAATTTGATAAGCAAAACAAGAGACGCCTGTCCATTCCCAGCAACTGGCTCTCCCTCTGTTCAAGCTCTGGCTGCAGATCAACAGAAGCAAGGACAGGAGTGCCTTTTTGCCTGCACTTAAAGGCCACTTTCATAGCAGCCGCACACAGACCTCCAAAGGTAGAAGCTGACCCTGCATCTATCAAGTTCCTTATTGCAACCAAGAAAAGGCTGACTGTTGTGGAAGTCGTGTATTCCTGAGAATTCGTATATTAAGCAGCAATAGTTGTATTGTGTTTTGCATTATTGTAGACAGTGTTTGCAAATCTCTTAAGATTAGGGCAATCAAAATAGATTTATTTAGACACTTTTAGAAGTTATATAGAAGTTTTAGCCAAACCCCCTGGAACGCAAGAAGTTCCTTTGACATTGGCAGGCTTTCAGGTAAGCCCCTGACATGCTCAGTTTGATAGATGTTAAGAATTTAGGAGGTTTTGAAGAACCTTAATGTAATTGTGTCACACAAGTATTTTAAGCAAATTTAAAACTCAGTATTCCTCTGTCCCTTCAGATTACTTCCCTTATGAAGTTAGTAGTAGTTCTGAATTCACCTATTCTTGGGCAAGATTAGATTCCATGCATATAAAAGATTTTCAGGAAAGAGTTGGCACTAGCATTCAAAATAATTTTATCCAAATTATGCTCTTCCCCAAATGCAAAAGGACATGGCTGTTTTGCCCCATTTATAGTTATAAATTGCAACTGGCTATTTAGAATATTAAGCTTCGTTCTTCAATTAGGTAATGTCATTAGGTAAGAAATACAGTCAACTTATTTTTGATTTTCAAAATTTCTTCACTTTGAGTTCTTAGTGTCCAGAGCAAGTAATCTTTTTTTTTTTTTCTTCTTTTTTTTTTCCCTGGGCATATGCAGTTCCAGATGCAACGGGACTTGTGTAGTCACAACCAGAAGAAAGGAGGATAGGTTTTGGCAGCCTGGGCAAGGTGCACGATAGGATGTGAGATCTCAGAAACATGGGGACAGGGCAAGTCTGCCTGTTGCATACAATCAGGCTGGCAGCGTGTCCTGTGCAGTATGAGGATGAAAAGTCCAGGTGTCACTCCATAGCCCAGGAATGGCTTTTTTTCTTATTTTGTCTCCTAGGGAACTCTACCTCCTTAAATTTGCTTCTCATGGGTGTGCTGGGGCAAAAGGAGTGCATAGCTTCATGTCGTTTGTTCCCTCATGTCCCTAAATCCCCTACACAGGAGGCTTTGTGAGAAAATGACTGGCTTGAGAGTCACAACACCAATTATAAACTAGTTACTGCTCATAACCGTTGGTTTTTGTAATACGTTGCCATGGGTTTTAGGGCAGCCTTTGAAGAAGAACCATAATGGTTTTGCTGCATACTTGTCCAAAGGATGTCTCTTCCATGAAGGTTGTGGGGGTTTTTTATTATTATTATTAAGCCATTCTTTGCTTGTACTGAAGTGTGAGATCAATAATTGTCTTTCATTACTCTCGTATTGCTGAAGATCATGCGTATCCCTGACAGTATTTCAACTTATTGCAGGAGGACTCTGCCCAGGGTCTAACGATCCCTGTCTGGAGAAGCCGTGTCCAGGGGACATGCAGTGTGTGGGGTATGAAGCTAACCGGAGACCGTTCATCTGCCAGTGCCCACCAGGAAAGCTTGGCGAATGCTCAGGTGCATGTCACAGCGGTAAAGGGGGATATACTTGAACAACAAAGTGCTGCCATTCTCATTTTTGTAGGTAAAGGTGCCACTGAAGTCAACAGAAGATGTACTGCTTAAGCTTTCTCAGCACTGGCACTTGGTGCATCTGTTTATAAGCCCTGTAAAATACTTGGCTATGGGGCCGTATGAAGACCATGATCCAGTTTCCATTGGGAAATTCCCACTGACTTGGTTGAATCCCAGACCAGTAAAACAGGCTGCTGAGAAAAGAGGACTTTTCTTAGAGACTGTTATGCCAGATGTTTTCCTGCCATGGGCAAAGCTCTATAATTAACCCTTCTGCTTACAATTTAGATTACCAAAATTCCAATCTTTATTAATGAAAACTCTACACCATCCCAGGAAGAAAGTTTCAGGACATTTGTTAGTTCTCTGCAGCTGTGTGGTTCCCTGGGATACAAAGAGCCTGGTGGAAAGCCCGTGAAGTGGAGCTTTCCGTTGACTTCAGTGAATCCAGAGCTGCTGACAGAGGACATGTGCTATTTCCCTGATGAAAACACAGCAGCTACTGAGCTGTATCACCGTGGTCCTGGGCAGTGGTTGCATGGAAATCATTGCAAGGGTTTGGCTGGCATCTGCTCACACCTACTTTATACCCATAACTCAGCTGTCTGATGTACAGGCATGGTCATCTTTGACTCCCTCTGTTATCAGTGCGGCAACATAGGTGCCTCCAGGGGTCTATAACCTTAAAAATGCTGAATACTTGAAGAAACCTCTCTTTTTTATAAGTATGGAGAAATAGAACTTTCCTCCATCCCCTGAAAAATTATTTTCCCCAAATATACAATATGTTTTTGTAGTAGGTGCCAGCTTTTTTTCCCGTCAAAGTTGGGTTTTATTTATTTTTTCCTAGACATTCTCATTAGCTCTATAAATTCTTTAATTAACTTGACAGTTGAGGAATTAATTCATGTGTCACTAAAAGAACATGTGTCTTTTCAAAATGGTTATTTCAGGCCACACTTCCCTTAGCTTTGCTGGGAATAGCTACATTAAATACCGGGTTTCTGAAAATAGCAAGAAAGAGGAATTCAAGTTGGCTCTCCGTCTGCGAACCCTGCAAAGCAATGGGATTATAATGTACACCAGAGCAAATCCCTGTATAATTCTGAAGGTAATTAAAATAACTTATCTTTTCCGCAGTTGTTTTCCTTGATTATATATTTTCTGTTGGCTCTTGATTTGGGGAATGCTGTTCTCATTTCAGCTGTAGCTTGAGAAGACGAAGTCTGATCTGTTTTATGCTAACAGGGAAAAAACAACGATTTTGACAATGGCAGCAACAACAACAATCAAAACCACAGCTTGTTAGTGGTACTTTACTTGGAAAATGCTCCACTGGGTGCTGTTCATTACAAGAACATTATGTGTGTCTGCATGCAGGAGCCGATCTGCATGAGATACAAGATTTGGCCATTTATATGACCATATAGTCAAAACGACGCATGCTGAAATAGCTGTTCTTCCCCTGTCCGTGCCTGTGGTTAGAGGATATGCCCTCACTGCTGTCGAGTTAATTCCAGAAACCAACTGCTTAGGATGTGTCTCCTACTGAATGTGAAGATTCCTGCACTCTGTGAATTAAGATTATTCGTTGAGAGAGGCATGGGGTAGCTGGAGATTGATATCCAATCAATATTTAATTGATAAGCTCTGCATGCATTTTTGTTCTTTGTTGGTTTTCTGTGGAATGGCAAATATCTGCTGGGTGGAAAGGGAGCGCTAGGCTCATCCAAGAGCCTGCATGTGTAGAGGCTAGAGCCTCTAAGGTACAAAATGAAGACATTGACTTTTATAACTCGGCCATGTCTTATAATTCAGCAGTGGGAGAAATGGCACAGAGCCTTTTGTGTCTGTATTTGCAATTTGTAGAGTTCTTTTGGCTGAATGCTTAGGTAATGTTAAAATGGCTAGATGAGTTATTAATGGGAAACAAATAATTTTATAGCTGTTAGACTGAAATATTTCATGAGCAGGAGAACTGTCTGTCATTCACTGGGGACTCTCAGCGTTGTTCAGATTTGTACAAGACAGTTAAGCTCTGCTTTGAGACACATAGAAATTCAGTTTGAACTTTTCAGTATACTTTTTTGCTCAAGAAAACAAACCAAAACTGCAGGCTTGAAGACCTTTTTTGAAGTCTTCATCGTGGTTGCTCTTAGCATATATCAGTAGGGAACATCTGCAATTTTGTAGTTTTGAAAAATGCTTGGAAAAAAACGAATGGTCCTGGTGAAAGGTGCCACTTGAAAACAATAGGAGATGATATGGAGACAGACTAAAATGGAGTTGGAATGATGACAGGAGAATTTATTTTGTTAGAGTTTAGTGTGTAAAACTATTATGATTAAGGAGTCCAGCAGCTCAGGTCATAGGCAACTGAGTGGAAATCTCCAGCTGAAGCTGGGAGATTTTGCCACCAAAAGAGGAAAATTCATGCTATTACAAAAAAATAAATGGAAGCCCCTCATTGCAGTCCTCTGGGTTGAGTTTTCAGTTGTGGGGTAGGAATTATGTGTTTTCAGTCACTGCTCCAACAATCACCTAACCATTTTGCTTTGAAAGGTACTGGGAGGAAAAAATAATACTTGAAGGAGCAGCGACAAGAACTGCGGCTACTCTGCTCCCATCTCAGAGGCCAACCTTCAGGTCATGCTCTTTTTTGCTTCCTAGCTCCAAGAAAGGATTTCCAGCTCTGAGTCCATCTCATGCAGCACTTAGTAGAGAGCTTCAGACACAGCTGCCGCTTCATGCGTCTGATGAGAGAGGTCCAGGGTCTTGTATGCAGTGTTATGGATGCAAGGGCTTGACTTTCTCCCATGCATCAGGCAGGGAAGGACACAGGGAAGTCCCTTTGCAGAGCCTCGTGTTTGGCTTTTAGGTAGGGCAGGATTTGCTGTTGCAGTGGGTACGTCCTTTCCCCAGGTCTAGCCCTTGGCTTCTATAACATTCAGCATGTTTTTTGAAGAAATGGCGTCACTTAAAAGATCAGGAATTGCTAGAGTTTTGTTTGTGAAGGTCATTTAGCAGAGGAACATCAGACTAAGGTCTCACAAAAGTGCTCTGTGGTAGATGAATGGCATTATGCTCAAGGGATGTAGCCATAGTAGGTCTCTCCAGGGATGGCAGCTGACTCATAAACTGTATTTTGGGGATCCCTAACTGAGATGCTTTCATGCAAGTTACCCTTAGACTTTCTAAGCATATGTTTTTTCATTTGTAAACCAGAGGTAAGGCCTTTTTAGTTTGTTTTTTTTTTTAAACAGGTATGTATGTTGTGAGATAGGGAACTGCTCAGAAATGAGGCCATTAAGTAGATTAATTAGAGGTCTATAAATGTGAAGTTGTTATCATTTGAGCATTGCTTTTAATTAAATTAAACATGAGGAAAAGCTTTCCAAATAGAGGATAAAGGATGGGATCCTGTGCTCTTTTGAGCACTCTGGCATCACTCCAGCAAAGCACTTAATCACTTGCTTAACTTCCTGTATTTGAAGGCAATTGGAACTACTGACATACCTTAATTTTAAGCATGTACTTAAGTGTCTGCTGGGTTAGCACCAGAGGGCCCAGCACCAACACTGAGCTCCAAAGAAAGGCAGAGGTAGTACGAGCCCATGGGAGAACGGGCAGAAAACACCACCACCACTGTTGGGACATATTGATTTTTTTGAAGCAAGTCTCCCCCATTGCAGTCTATTTAAAAATTAATGCTGCAATATGGTTTTCAGTGTTTAAATGACCAGCTTACTTTTGGGAGCTCATACATTTGTGATAACTCCGGGGATGGAAATATTTCATAATCATAACACGGTGTCCTTCTTGGATGAATAATAAATTCCATAGAGCAAACTGCTTGTCTGCTACTTTGCTGAAAGCCTACCAGCTACACTGTGTTGATACAATATAATAAGGGTGTTATTTATTCAGCTGTTTCTAATAAAGCAAGTCATCCATCGATTTTGAGAGGTTGGCCATTTTTTTCATTGCATGCTCTTGCTTTTAAGACAATTGGAGCAAAATGAGATGCAGGTCGATGGCCTTTTTTTTTTCCTTTGAAAAGATTACATGTGCCAAAAACAGTATCAACATTTCCTTTTTCCTATGTAGCATCTATCTGCGAAAAGTAAGATTTAACAATTTAAAGCATTACGAGGGCATCGCAGAAGAGAATTCCATAATTTATTTCTTTGTTTTCAAGGAAAGTAATGGAGATTCAACTTGTTTTGTGAAATTTAAAGGACTAAAAACAGGGAAAGAAAGACTTTCCCATCATGCCAGAAATATAGCTGTTAAATGGTAAAAGGCAAGCATATGTTCTTCTGTCCAGGCAGTTAATGTGAAACTTTGCATGGTTTAGTTAAGCGTATATTATACATTTTAATGCATTACTGCTACATGGCTTATGCTGGATAAGACTGAAGCTTGGATATGATCCCAGTTATGGCTAGGGTTGAAACAAGTAATATTTTAATTAAATATACTGTTTTACACAAACGAACCTGAAATGTAATTCGGCTAACGAAATATTTCCCCAGATAGATTAGGAGGCAGCATGCTGTATCCATGGTGTGTGACTGCAGATGGACTGTGTGAGCCTAAGGTGGTCTCAGAAGAACCATTTGATCATTTTATTGCCTATGTTGATACACAAATATGGATGTTAGCCAGGCTAATATTCTAATATAATTTACAATATGTGTTTGGCTGCATTTTGCTCATTGAATGAAACTGTTGAAATGTAACAGATTGCATCAGCTTTTGGAGCCTTGTCTGTTCTTTGTACTTCTTTGCCTATTTTATACAGATGAGGAATTTTGTGTCTGTAAGAGCATACATGCTTAAGTATGCATTAACCTCACGGTCCTAGCAGTTATCATGAGAGATACTGTAACCAAGCCCAGAAAGCTCTGAGAGGTGGAAGCTTGGTGGGAATTTTCTGCCGAGCTAGGATGAAGCAGTGTCTCTCTGCTTTCATCTTGGTGCAGAGGGTCTCTGCTGGCACCGTGGGCTGCATTGGCGAGGACTTACAGAGTTTGCATCTCTCTGCTGTGAGATGGAGTAACTCAAGCTCTCTGCTGTTTTACATCACATAGATGGAGAAAAAAGCAGTGCCACACATTCAGTCCTGAACTGAGAGTCTGATGCTACCAACCCTCAACCAGACCAGTCATCTCACTGAGGTTATTGTCTGGGTAACTGCTGAGCCTGGACAACAGCATTGGCCTTTCATTGGATTTCCATACTATTTGCTTGAATGTACCTCATTTAGTAAGAAATTAACTTGAAGTTCAACTTTTCTTGGTACCAGGGTCCAGGCTATAATCAAAGAGCCCTGTTTGGGGGGTTGAACAGCATCCCTGACACCGCTGTGGTTACGGGGAATCACGGGAACACCAGGGATTAATTGCCGAATGAAAGAGCCACGGTTGAATTCTCCATGCTTAGAAGTGCAGACATTGTTTTCCCCTGTTGAGTGGACCCTTCTCCTCCCTGCCCGGCCAGCCTAGCTGCTGAATAGGCAGGACAGGAGCCCTTTGCTCCTCGCGGGCTGTTCCTGCTCTTCCTCCTCCTCACAGAGGCACAGGGCCATCAGGGGACAAATATTTCCTCCCTGCCCCGCTACAGCAAGGCCTGTGACCATCTGATTAATGAAAGTATTTTTATGGTCCCATTGCTAGGGGTATCTGGGCACGTCACAGTCTTTAATGTATGTATCCGTAAAGCAGTGGTGTGAGGTGGGGAAATGACGTTATCCCTCTTTTACTGATGGAGACCTGAAACTAATGACTTGCTTGAGATCCCAGAGGAAGAGTGTTGCAGAGTGCGGATTCCCATGCATATCTATCATATTTTAGGCTAGTACTGTAAGCGCCGAACCATCCTTTCCATCTTTCACTCTCGCCTAAGGTGGAGGTTACTTTTTTAATAAAAGGAAGGAAACGTAGCCTTTCAGACAATTTATATTTACTGTGTATGTCAGATCATCTGCTGGTAAGAAGAAGTAAAAGTGGATGAGAAAGATGTATAAAACATATTTTAATGGCAAATCTTTTAGATCATCGTTTCCTGTATACAAATGGTGTAATATTTATCCCAGGTGCTCATATGTGGTGCTGTATTTATAAAGATAATTGGAAAAGCATGTTCTGTGAGTAAGGGTAATAGACATGCAGGCAGTAGGTCCTTCAGGGTATAAGTAGTCTTAGGGGAGGTATATGTATATTATATACAATCAGTAGAACAGTTTCCATAGGAAAAAGCCTTTTGAATAAGAAGCAAGTTAACTGCTTATCCGATGACGGCTGTTTTTCAAAGTGTAATACGTTGGCATGTATTTTTCTGTTTGATTTGTATTCCTGTTGAGCCAGACCACACTTTCTGAGCAGCAGCTTCGAGGTTTGTGGACTATTTTGTTGCACAGGGAGAAAAGAAACTGTTGCTCCACCTCTGGAGAGAAACCAGCTCAGTTCATCAGGGCATCTTGTTTACCAAGATTCCTCCTGAGCAGATGCTTTAATAGGCCCAATTTCAATCTACAGAAATAGTTTACAGCTGAGTTTTGAATCCCATAAGAAAAGATTTTTTAATGAAAAATGATCCAGACTTATTTTTCTGTACATCCATTAGCCTTTTTTGATTGAGCTGTAGGAGTACCAAGCAACATCCATCCCTCAAGCATGTTGTATTACAATCATAGATCTCATTTCTTAGTTTCATTACATCCTACAGGACAAGGACTTAAAAATAACCGGCTACCCATAGCAGGGGCTAATTCTTGCCCTTCTGGCTCCTTCGACCTGTGTATCCCTCTAACACCCCTCATGCCGTGCAGAGTAAGTAGGTAGCTGGCATTTATAGGGAGCTTGTCATGTGCTTAGCACCTCTGTGTCCACCCCGTCCAAGCGATTGCAGAGCAGTGGAGTGGTATGGTTTACATCCCAACTGCCCAGTGTGACTTGGCTTGAGGTTACAGCCCAGTTTAAATTCAGCCAGTCAAGAGACTGAGGTCTGGAAAGGAGAAGGAAGTTGAGAGGCCATCAGAACTCAAGATTTTACCCTTAGCTTTTCTCCAGGTAGTTTTGTGAACCTCCAAGGACAATAAAGTGCTGATAGTGACACGAGAGCACAGTCTGCTCCTGTAGATTAACAGTATCCCATTTACCTTCAGGCCACATCAGAGAGCCTGGCAGAGAAGAGTTTGAGCACCAGTTCGGACACATGCCAAGGGATGTCTCCAGCTAACGCAGTTTTAAATGACTATTCATGCCAGAAACAGCCAAAAATGGCCAAAGACAGATGGACACAATACAGCATCCTCACATGCGCTTTAGCCATGCCAGTTTAGCAGGCCACCAAAGCTCGGGGGGGGTGTTCTTGCATTGGCAGCTATGGCACGGATAAACCAGTGAGAGTACAATGTGTGCTGCAGGGAAGGATGAAAAAGGACACAGCGCCTGAACTTTTCAGGGGGATAAATAATGGGACAGAACTGTCTTGAGATGGGGTTGGCAGAAATAAATACTTCCTAGAGCATGACATAAAGGTAAAATAATTGCAAGAGCTTTCGGAGAGCTTGAATCCAATTAATGTGTCATAAGAAATTATTTCCAGCCTTGTCAGCCATTTTAAAGTTATCTGCCATCTGTTAGAGAAATTTAAAATCTTTGGGTAAACTGCTAATCCGGAAAGCAGCACTTCATACCTATTCCCTCACTCTGCACTTTGCCTGCCTCAGCAGGCCAGCGCAGATTTTCCCTTTATGAGGACTTCAGATGGGTGAGGGACAGGAGGGAGAGTGAGAAATCCTGACAATCCCTTTAAAGCCATGAACCCAGCATAAATATGAGGAAAGAAAGAAAAGTAAGAGCCATCTTATGTCATCTGTAAGGTATACACAGAGCAGGTAGTGTAGCATCCTTGAAAAATAACTGACTTTTGGTCAACCAGAATCTTACTGTTGTACTTTGAGAAACTGAACTTACGACACTTAGGGACAAATCCACACCTCGCTGAGATGCTCCAAAAGGCACAGGATATGTGCAGGAGCAGAGCACCTAACATCCCCAGGTGAAAGCAGTGACCATTGACTTTGCCACAAGCCTCTCTCAAACACTCAGAGGTGGTCCCTTGCCCTGCTAGCAAGCACCCTGTCCTTTTGATAGCATCAACCACTGGGAGCAGAATCGCAGCGCACGGGTGGATGGCGGGATTTGCTCAGAGAGACATGACTGCTCAGCAGCAGAGCCAAGAGCAGAACATGGGTCCTCCGGTCCATGCCCTGTTCAGTGAGACATATCGTTATGTCCTCACCTGTGATCTGCATCTATGTTTTTTCTGTATTTTCAGTTTGCCTGCAGTAACTGCCTGTGGGTAAATTCTAAGTAAGCTGATATTTATCACCTTACTTGTTTTGGTGATGATAAAGGAACAGCTTTTTGCTATTTTAGTGTCATGTAGGAGAGCAGCTTTAACACTGTACAGAGACTGTCTAGAAGTCCTCTGTGTTTCCAGATTCTCTGTGAGAGCGTATTTACGAGACGTCTGAGTGCCTGAAGCGCTTTGATTTCTGTTTTCCTCCCGCAGATTGTCGATGGCAAACTGTGGTTCCAGTTGGACTGCGGAAGTGGCCCAGGCATCCTGGGAATTTCTGGCAGGGCCGTTAATGATGGAAGCTGGCATTCGGTCTTCCTGGAGCTGAATCGCAATTTCACGAGCTTGTCCCTGGACGACAGCTACGTGGAGCGCCGCAAAGCCCCCCTCTATTTCCAGACTCTCAGCACAGATAGCTCCGTCTACTTCGGCGCCCAGGTCCAAGTGGATAACGTCCGCAGCCTGACCGACAAGAGAACAACGCAGGTCTTGAGCGGCTTTCAGGGCTGCCTGGATTCCGTTGTCCTAAATAACAACGAACTGCCGCTCCAAAACAAGCGCAGCAGCTTTGCAGAAGTGGTTGGCCTGACCGAGTTAAAGCTTGGCTGCGTCCTCTACCCCGACGCCTGCGAGAGGCATCCCTGCCAGAACGGCGGCACCTGTACCACCGTGCCATCTGGTGGTAAGTACTCTGCATTACTTCATGGGTTCCCCCCTCCCCACTTTTCCTCTATAATTTATTGCCAGAGATGGTTTTATGCAGCAACATGCTTGAAAAATCTCATGAACTCTATAAAACTCTGATAGGTATTGCAAATTGTGTAAAAGCTGTTTGCTCTATAAATAACGGTGAAATGGTGCCCCTTCTCATTGCATTAGTGTTCTGGGAGGGAATTGATTTATTGGCTGTTAGGATAATCCTATTTCTATAGAAACCAATGGCATTACAATTACTGTAATGCTCAGCTGGATTTTTCAGGATCCATTTACAGCATCGAAGGCTGTACACAAAGATGGTGATTTCAAACGTCCATCACAGATGCAACAGCACTGTTGCCTTTGTTTCTGAAGCTGTCACAAATAATTATTGAGCTGTCCACAAACACCTTGGTCCATTCGTGAGTGAGTAATTTGATTACATGTCTGCATGGAAAATAGCGAGTCTGCCCCATTATAAACCCCCCCGAAGTGTATTTTACAGCTTCCTCGGAGGCCTGAGTGCTTCAAGGTCTAAGTAATATTATCCAAAGTTTATAGGGCATTGATTTAAACTGTGCTCGTGTTGGAGTTTCCTATCCAGTGGTTATATGGTGGCATGTGTAATTTGGTGCTAGTGACTTATTACCCAGGAATGTAGCGCGCAAGTTACCAGACCATAAGAACAGTCAGCATTTTAGCAGGACAAAAGCAAATGGCATACATGTAGGACCTTTCCTCTAGGGCTGTTCTGCCTCTGCAGTGTACAGGTTTCCCTTCCAGGTCCCCATATTGTATTTGCAGGCAGCATTGCTCACCTTTTCTGGCAGACTAAAACTTCCTCTGAAAGGAGGATGCTCAACAGAGAGGTTTTCTGCAAGTTTAGAGCTTTCCATCCACTTATTGTCAGTGGTTTTGGTCATGGTCCCCTAGGGAAGTTCCCACTAAACACTTTTTTTATGGAGCATTTAACCACTGTCCAGGGCTTTCTGCTTGGAAAGTTCCCTTTCACCTGTAATTATTTCTGGTTTTCATTGTTTTAAGCCTTGTTCTCATATTTCCTTTCTGATGAGCCTCCCCCAAGTAGATTTTTCTAAACTTTAGAAACTTCCTAAACTTTAGAACAGTTTAGTTTTCAAGGCTGAAACTGACTGTCAGGCAGAAGTTTCTCATTTGGATAACCCTGCCCGTGTAGAGTAAGCCCCGACAACGTGGATTTTCTGATGCTGAGATATCTCAGCTAGCATCTCCTCTGGATCCTTGGCTTTGATTCAGCCGCTTCTCCTATGCCAGGGCAAAGGGTGCGTCAGGGATGCTGTCGGCTTTGCTATCAGTGGAAGGAGGTGGGAGGACAGTTGGGAGGAATGAAACGTAGCACTGGCAAGCCGGGATGTGATGTGCAGCACGAGGGCAAATGCTGCTTGTGTGTGTCGTTAAAGGTCCTTATTTACCACGGGAAAGAAAGAAAAGGAGTGCTGCACAACAAGGGCAAAAGAAAATCATTCTGAGGCAGATGGATGCTGCAGCCAGTGAGAGAATTGCTAAGCAAGATTATTTAAATCCCTAGGAAATAACTGCTGTAATATGTACATGGAAGTAACATGGCTTTGATTCAGACTCCATACTTAATAAATGAGGTTAACCATTTGCCAAGCTAGCATCCTAGGAAGCATGAGAACAGCTCCTTCTATTGATTTTATTTGAGTCTATTTACAGTATTGCTCAGCAATCTCGTGATGAGTAAATTGAAACCTTTCTAACGAAACGCTTTACAGTAATTCTTTTTTTCCCAGCGCCATGTGCATGCCAATGCGAACTGAGGGGAGCAGTGGGGCGGGGGAGAAACAGGCGGCACTGAAGACTAGACCCGTTTTATTACTGGAATGGCACGCACTGTTTTCACGTCAACATAATTCGCTGCTGGAAAGCAGTCACGGAACTGATTTAACTTGCCTGCGTCCCTGCCTCGGCGAGGGGGCACGTGCCCTGCGGGGATGTTTCGGCTGCCTGCCGTTAAAAAATCTGTTTGCTGTTTTTACTGCCTCAGCAGTGTATGTAAATAAAGGATTGTTATAAAGCCATAATTCCAGCGCAATGGGCCCTGACCGCACATCGGTGGTTCTGCAGCCCAGCCCACAAGGAGAAGGCATGGGCATTTTTGTTTCCACCAGGCAAAGCGATTCTGTTGTTAGTGTCCTCCATATGCAAAAAGACCACGTAATTAAATTCCGTACAGCAGAGAGCCCCACAGCATTGCAAATGCTAGTTGCGGAGCCACAAATTGCAACGTGCATTTAACAATCATCAGCCATTGTATTCGCTGACATAGATGTTAGCAGCTGACTTTCATTTAAAATAGAAAAAAAAAAAGTAATAACTCTTCAATTTTTATCTTAAGAAAGAAAATGGCAGCTTTTTTCTGTTTTGGTGGGGGGGAAGCATTCAAAAATACACTGTGCAAAGGTCCTTTTCCCAGTCCCATGGCATTCAATAGCATCAGGATCTCTTGACTAATACTTTCTACGATATTATCCTCCTATTAAAGTTTCTGGAGAATAATGTTCCTTTTCCTAAACAAAGAGTATCTGGCATAATGATAGGATTTGTTTTAATAAATAAATCCTCTAATTTGAATTTTACAGAGCAGACTTCATATACTGTTAACATCCTTTTTCTTACAAAAAAACCCTACTGTGCTTTACAAGGGAATTAAGAGAGAGAAAAAGAAAGCTCAGATTTATAGCTAACTTTAAAAGAAAACAGTCAAGCAAAGCTTACCCAACATTATAACATGAAAGAGTTGCTGGCTACATGCCAGAAATCAAAGGGGCCATGTCTCATTTACATATAATTTGCATAAATTGATCATCTAAACCACAAACCTTGATAATAGTATTCCTGTTGTGAGATCTTCCTTTCAGTAGAAATGCCTACTGCCCTGTTCACCATTAGTAAAAAGCTGCCTCTGATTACCTTCTACTTCATCCTGCAGGTATGGGAATAGGGTAATATCACGGCCCTGTTTGGGGAATTGCTAAAGCATCTGTTAGGGTTCGTGTGGGTAAATTCACAGCAACGTTGAAGCTCCTGACTCGGGGACAGTGCTGTGCATGGGCTGCACAGGGCTTGGGACTGATTGCAAAGGTATTGCCCCGAAAAGAGGGTTGGCACAGGGCTAGTTGACCCATGCTGGATCTTTCTGTCTGACCTCTCTGCATATTGAACGGGAGGACAAGATGTGAATCTTAGCCTGCAGGAGAATGTATGGATAGCTCAGATGCTCTGAGACATCACTGAGAGCACAGAGAAACCTCTCTGCTTTCAAAATCTGGTTTCTGGGCCAGCTCTAAGCGGCCATGGCATGAACCTCTGCTTGCACAACCTCTGCTTGTTCCCACGGGTCCGGATCAAGTCCCGCAGCAGCAACGTGTGCCCAGCATTGTCGGCGGTTAAAGAGAGGGTGCTGTGTGTCCAGGGTCCCCGCGAGGAGATCCCATGCGTGCTTAAAAAGGGCTGGGAAAGGGGGAAGAGCACTCACCGGGTCTGACAGCTCAGGAGACTCCTGAGAGCTATATACAGCTTTAGGACAATTTTCTTAGAGACACTGGAAACCACAGCCCTGAAATACAGGCCACATTTTTCCAGACTTTTCAGCCCCTATCCATAAATACAGGTCAGTGAAGCTATTTTTAAAGAAAGTTGTTAGCATTTTGAAACCTGACAAACAGCATGACTTTCAGAAACAGCTTGGCTCTTTGGGCTGAAATTTCCCAAGAAAATTCAACCAAGTGTTTAAAGTGTGGTTAAGCTATAAGCTGCTGAATATGAGGTCTTAAAATGGGAAATGTCACACAACCTTAATAAAAGAGTGGCGTTACCAGGTCTGCCAATAGTAAATGTATGTTTATCTGCGTGAATAACAACATGAGCAATCACAGCAATAGAAAGCTTTACTGTAATCAAATCCTTACACCACGCCAAGCTTTTCAGCCACAGAAAGAAACCTCGTGCTTGTAAAGCCTGCAATTATAAGTATAGCTACTTCCTTTTAATTTGATCAGTCCTATATGCATCTGGCTTTGATTGAAGTAAATGGCTTATATGAGTAGGCAATTTTATTTGAACATGAGGCATTTGAGCAGAAATATCTACTGAGTCAAAGACTGTGGGCAGAGTGTGAGGACAGAAAGTCATTGCTTTCCCTTCTCTTTTTTTTTTTTTTTATTTTTTTTATGAACAGAGTTAAAATCCAAAGAGTGGGGAAAATGCAACCTGGCACTTAGGTGGTGGTTTTAATGCATGTTTTAAAGCACGTTGGCAACATTGAAACAGGGATGTTTTTGAGGAGTAGGTAGTTCATAAGAATGACATTAGAGAAAAATGGGTGTATTAATACCGTAGTCATGAACTGACCTGGTCTTACTTACGTTCTTAATCTCGCTTTTTCACACGCACAAAAAAAACAGAATGCTGTAATGTGAGCATTCCAAATGTGCATCGGTTAATTTTTAAAAGCTATTTAGAAATTTTGGGGGTTTTAATCTTTTTTATAGCTATGCTTTTAGACATCTGGATTTAAATTCCCAGTTTCAAAGCATATACACGCCAATCCTTTCATAGAAAGCACCGGTTTAACAAAGACTGAGGTTCATTTTTGTACCAACTAGTGGCAAGAGGCAATCATCTGCTTGAAGACAGATAAGTTAAATCTCAAATGGCAGGAATATGTATGGCTGAAGAACACACAGTTCTTGAAGGTGGCCTGGTATGTCTATAAACGTACCAAAATACAAACACTATGTGAGCAGGGCCAAGGGCAGGCCTGTTCCTGGACATTGAGTTTGTCAGGTCTAGCTGCACAGCAGGGAAAGAAACTACATGGGGAGATCAAATGCGAAAGCCAAAGCACGTAACAGATAAAAGGCAGCTCCTCTTGCATGTGATAGATAGAAACAGGAGCATACACATGTTCAAAAAAAGAATTGGCAGCAGTTTGGAGCGTCCTCTTTAATAAAGCCAAGTAAACCTGAGGATAGACAGACATTCAGATGCTCAGGCTGGGAATGCTACCAACGGAGACCTTTGCTGCCCAACAGCATCCCATCTGCTGATGGCACCGTGCCTGCCTTTTGCCACTGTCTGCTTATTAAGTGCCACGCAAACATAGGTATAGGCGGGAAGCCTGCGTGCTGTCCTTGCTTGCAGCATGTTGCTCTTCGGTAAGGTCTGGGCTGAAAAATCCCTTCTCGTCTGGACAGGGACATGCCAACAAGGCAGGAAGAGAAGCTGCTGGAGTCAAAGTGAGAAGGTGAGACTCAGCCACGTAGGTGGGACTCAGATTAGTGGAGGAACATGAGAGAAGCCTTATAAGCCAATCAGAAAGCCCAAGACTATGTGTAGGCAGGAGAGGGCTATGTCTAAATAAATGTTTTAGATCATGAATGAGCTTTGATGTGAATCTTCTGATCATCCCCTCTCACTGTGCTTTGATTCCTGTTATGGAGAGGTGAGGTCTCGCAGGGCAGGACCAGGCTTCCCTCTGGACGGTGCTGAGCTGGAAGACGTGCACCAGCAGTGCCATTAACATGATCCTAAGGCCCTGAAATGTGTGCTCTGAGGGTGCTGGGTCCTCAGCACCAACTGTTTTGCTCCACAGACCCACTGCCATTGCTCTGCAGGGCTTGCTAATGTAGATAGAGCCTAAAAGGGCTATATTGTTGCTGATAGCTTGTTGTTGCTCTTAGGTCAGCTGTTGGTACAGGCTGTTGTGGCACATGCTGAGCATGTTGTCGTCGCACCCCAGCAGCGTTGCAGATGTGTTTACCAGAGCTTTCTATCTTTTTCCACTGTTTCCCTCTGAAGCAATACAGTGGTGACATCTCAAAATTTGCTGCCTTGGAGAATGCAGATCTACATTTTCCAGCATCAGTGTGCAAAATGAAATACTCATATCTCTTGGAGGGAACTCAGATGGACTGTGTGATCTTAAATGTTGATGAATTTCCAAGACTTCCAGTGCCTTCATTGTGAACAGGCGGAAGCCCTAGATTGCTTGAAAGGGTTTTTCCATCCCCTGCTGAGACGACAGGGCACTTAGCCTTTTCTTCAGCTGTGTTGTCCTCAAATGTGGGAAGTTTCCTTATTATTCTTGTGTGGGAATAATTGCATTACTGGGATATTAAATTAAAAATGTAATAAAAATTCTTTGTTAGACCCAGGATGCACTCGTGACCAAAAGGGTTTTCTTATACTATTGCACTTTGTGGCTACATTGTGCAGTAGCGGGCAAAATTACAGCCTCTGCTGAGCGGTTTGGAGAAGCATAAAAGGTCTGGCAAGTCTGCTGTCCGGGTCGATATATGCTGTGTACTGAGCCACCGTGTGAGCTCTTCACTTCCCTACTCCATGAATTTCAACATATGCTTTGCTGTGTTGGAGACCTCCCGGGTGAATGCTTTGCAGCTCTGAGCACGTGTGTCACGGGAAAGTTCTGTGTCTTTTGCCAGTGGCTCGGAGTTGGCAGGTGTATGGCAGTGCTTCCGACGGGAGGAGAAGCCAGTGATAAATATTGTCGTTTAATCCTGTCTTGTTTTATTGCCTTTTTTATTTCTAACTTTGATCCCTAGACTTAGAATCTATGCTGAATACTTCAGTCTTCTAATATCTGACTGTGGTCCACCATCATTAAATCAAATTCAGTCGAAAATGTAGGCTTTCAGAAGCAGACTTTTCATTTCGGTCTTGTTCATACATTGCCCCATAGAGCTCTGACCCATCTGGAGCATTCAGTTTCATCTCCTCTTAGTATAAAATGTTAATTGAAGTTAAACAATGGGCAATAATAATAATGAATAAATCCATGTTCCTTTTATACTTGGTGGTAAAAGGATTTTTTTTTTTTTTACCAAATCAATATTTTTCAAGTTTTCTGCAGTGAATAAATGTAACAGAATATGTTACAGAGTGAGAACCCAGAACTTAATCAGCTGAAACAAACACAAAACGTGAAAAGTAAGTGATTCAAAGGCTTTGTCTTACAAATTATTGGCAACTGGTAACTTAGGTACAGAAAATTGGTTTTTAAAGTCACTTTAAAGTTATGTAGGTTTAAAATATCAGATAACAAATAGAAGAACATATCTATTCTGCTATTTTATAAGGCAGAGTGAATAAAATGTTTTATATTTGAATTGAACGTTTTCACTTCACTTAAAGTCATTGAGACCATAAAAATATATAAAACATTACTGTAAATTTTTGAACTATAGATGTCACTGTTCAGTCATAAAATGAAGCACTGAAACAGCCTTATTTATTCATGCTGTGATTTCTACCTACAGTATTTCTAGATCAGCTACTTTGCCAACTAACAATAAATCTTCCATAGGGATGGCATCAAAATGCAATGCCTGGTGCAGTCACAGTTTTGTAATTCTTTAGACCCAGATCTCTACAGATCCAGAAAGTTGTTTGCATTGTCTGAGTGAGATATGTATAAGACACCAAAAAATAATCCCATCTTGCTGATGCTGACCAAACATGCTTTCTAGGAAATCCCAAAGTCAAATCATTTCTCTTCTTAACTCTGCAACCTTGAAAACAGCAGTGCTTCTATCTCCCTTCTTGTAGCAGGACAACGAAAAAGCATGCTATTTGAGTATCTATTTCATTTATCTTCGATTAAATAGGATTGGACTCTTGACTGAATACGCCAGCAAGTCTGGTTCCAAGTTCATTCTCTAAAGCCTGTCCTCATGAAAGAATTCAATTAGAGTAACTGAACAAGGCGAATTGAACCGGATAGGACATAAAAGGTGCGAGAGTCTTAATGCAGAATTGCTTTTACCTCCTGCCTCCACTGGGCTTTTCCATATTGTTTCCGTGAAATTCTTTTCCTTGCAACTGTGCTGGAAATTCCTGCCTTGTTTCCTAGAACAGTGGCTTTTAAAATATGTTTTGGGTTTTTTTTTTTTTCAGATGTATAGCTATAGAAAGTTTTTAAAAATATGTTTAAAAAGCTCACCACTGAGGGATGATATTTCAGCTACATCAGCTTGATCTCCAATAATCTTGACAGTGAATTGAGTTGCATTTCAGCTCTAACTCCAGCAGTATTAATGGCAGGAAGGTTCCTTGTTCCAGTTGCTTAATATCTTATATTCAGTAAGTATGTGAATCCCATAATTGGAGCTTGAACCTTGCCTACACATCTGTTTAGGGCATTTGGACTGTGTAAGTAGTTTCTTAAAAAATCAGCCAAAGGTTTTTTACAGATGTCCAGGAAAATTTTGCTAGTTCAACATCTCTAATCTAGGAGTCTTTCCTTCCCAGGGACTGCCTTAGCCATCAATAGCTTTCACAACCTACATGTTCCATGCTCTTTTCGAATGAAAAAGCACTCAGATTTCAATATCCAGTTCACAATATAAAGAGACATGTTGTCTCACTGGAATTCTTTATGACCTTCAATAATTTTTTTATTAATGGCATTGTGCCATATGAAATCACAAGGAGAGGGGGAAAAAAAAAAAGAGGCTGTCATTTGATACTTGGCAGAGTGAACTGATGGTTTCAAGAACTGGTTTAGACTCTGATGTTGCTCCTCTGTCGACAAGAAATGTGGAACTTTTGATCCCCTACAGGGTCCCCCTCCGCTTGAGTGGAGTTATGTCTGATGTATTGCAGCCAGTGATTAATCGGTCTCTTAATAGCACACACCGCAATAATCAGCTCTGATTAGGGCTGGTGTTGCCCAGGTCAGCTGGTATTATGAAGTTTATAGTTCATGCCTGGGTGATGCGCTTTATGGAAGTTGTAAGTATCACTATCAAGTGTTTTATTACTGTCACATCCCTACTGTGTCGTCCTTGTGAAAGGCAGATGTGGAAAAGATCTCAGTTCATGTATTTGTTCTTCAGTGAAACCCCTAAAGGCGTGTGGGCTGCCGCTATCAGCAAATATCTGTATCTGTATTTTCAAAAATATTGGGAAATGCATCTTTGATCTAGAATATTTCTTGTGACGAAAGTTATTCATGGACGACATTTATTCTTATCTGAATTATGATGATCAGGATGGTCTGGGCTGCAGCAATTCCTCTGGTCGCTGGTTGTAGACATGAGCTCCAATTGTCCAGACATCCTAGATAAACAAACTCTCGACTGGCACTAATGTGGACCATGCAGACATACTAGAATGAGTATAAACATCCTTTTTCCCCCATAGTACAAGATATTTTTTGGAGTAAAGTGGCTAAATGGATCCCTTTGCTTCTAGACAGATACAGTGGTAGGCTTCTGATTTATTTCTCTGTGTCACTCACCTCCCAGGCTATCAGTGCAATTGCCTCTCCCAGTTTACGGGAAGGAATTGTGAGTCGGAGATCACAGCCTGCTTCCCAAATCCCTGCCGGAACGGAGGCTCATGCGATCCCATCGGCAACGCTTTCATCTGCAACTGCAAGAATGGCCTGACAGGAGTAACGTAAGTGACCCTCTCCAGGTGGGCAACGGGAGCTTTTCAGTTCAGTGATGGCGGGCTTTTTGATCAGGCATTTTGTACCTAAAAGCTATGATTCACCTAGCAAAAAATAACCCAAAGCTTAGTGCTTATTTCAAGCCTAAGCTAATGACAGCTGAGAAATGCATGAGGCTTGCATGTTCAGAAATGCTTTTCTGAACTTGGCCTCCTAAATTATTGTTTCACTTATCTCCAGACAGTTTTCACTGAGATACGCACACCTAAGTCTTAAAGGATTTTGAGCAATCCAATAAAGCCTGTGGAAGCTGCTATGTAATCTTTTTTTTTGAAAATGGATCAATTATTTAGTCACCTTAGCCTTGACATAAAAGCCTAATTTATTGCATTCATTTTTTAAAATCACAGCCTTGATCATATACTTGGTGTAAAAACAGAAAATCCCCTGACCTGCCCATCAACATGCTTTTTTTTCATCTAGTTTGTCTACTGTTTGTACTTTTTGTTCTGCCTTTTTTTAATCACCTCTTCTTCATTCCAATTCTCCTCTCTCTTTAAGGTCGTATTCTTTTTTCCCCCCGCTTCTCTAATCTTTGCTCATTTTATCTCCAGCCCCAAATAATTTTACACAGTCAGTATATCCTCCTCTTCTCTTAAATAAGAACTCTGATTTGTTTACTATGTTTTTTCTCAACTATTTTCTCCTTGAATCCTCCTAATATTTTGTATTGAATCCCGTGGGATGGTCCAAAAACGATATAAAAAGGCTGAGATTCTCTGTTACATTCAGTGAGCCTCATTAGGGTCAAGGAGCCTTTTCCCATCAGATGCTTTAAACTCTTATTTCCTTCTTGATGTTTCCATTTTATTGTCTTAAAAAGCCATGGAATAGCTGTAGAAGAAATTAAATACCATTAAATAATGTGATAATAGTAAGATCATTTGCCAAGCACCAGCAAAGTGTTAACTGTAGTGGTACCACTTTGACAAGATAAGTCATCATGTACAAGCTGGGCTGTTTGTTCTCCAAACTTCAAACTCTCCTTTTCTTCTTTTAAGGTGTGAAGAAGACATCAACGAGTGCGAAAGGGAAGAATGTGAAAATGGTGGCTCCTGTGTCAACATATTTGGTTCATTTCTGTGTAACTGCACCCCTGGCTATGTGGGGCAATACTGTGGTCTTCGCCCTGTGGTGGTTCCCAACATACAAGCTGGGCATTCATACGTCGGCAAGGAGGAGCTGATAGGAATAGCCGTGGTCCTGTTTGTCATATTTATGTTGATCATCCTCTTTATCATCTTTCGTAAGAAAGTATTCAGGAAGAACTATTCCCGCAACAACATCACACTCGTACAGGATCCAGCTACTGCCGCCCTGCTCAACAAGAGCAACGGCATCCAGTTCAAGAACATCAGGAACAGCGGAGACAGCAGAAATATCTACCAAGAGGTTGGGCCTCCACAGGTCCCGGTGAGGCCAATGGCCTATACCCCGTGCTTCCAGAGTGACTCGAGGAATAACCTGGACAAGATAGTGGATGGGCTTGGTGTGGAGCACCAGGAGATGACGACATTTCATCCCGAGTCCCCTCGAATACTGACGGCCAGGCGGGGGGTGGTGGTGTGCAGCGTAGCTCCAAACCTGCCCGCCGTGTCTCCCTGTCGCTCTGACTGCGACTCCATCAGGAAGAGCCCGTGGGATGCCGGGACAGAAAGTAAGTAGTGCTGCTTGCTGCTCTCGCTCTTCCTTGCCATAGGTAAGGGTTGCCTTCAGGGGGCAGCAGGTACAGTGGCACAGGTACTCCTAATGCTCCAACCTCATACACTTACAATTGTTGCATTTCTCCAAGAAGTGATTTGGTTTAATTTTGAAAGGTTATAATTAAACCAGGCGTACAAGACCTCTACTTCTATGCATTAAGTGTGACATTTATTTCACTTGTTCAGAAAGCACATCTGAGTAAGTGCCCTGAGCGTTAGTTCTTCAAATGATACAGTGCAATAATCTTTCTATTGGAAGAAATAATTTGGGGCAGAATTCTCAAATATAAACTCTGCTAGGTTTGGGCAGTTTGTCTCCTGAGGGACTTAAAAACATTTAAACCTTCTGCAAGAAGCAATCGTCTTTTACAACAGGGACAAATGAACTAATATTCTCTACTTCCAGTGTCTATGAAATGAAGCAGAAAATCATGCACTACTTAAAGGATCACCGTTTCGGTCCATTGCATTCGCATCTGCATTCAGTGTCAGAGTGATCACAAAATTTCTGATCCCCACACTTACCCTATTTGTGCTCTGATGGTGTCTCACCTGATAACACAGTGCCCCTTCCATTCCTGAACAAGTTGCTGGAGATGCACCAAACTTCACATATTCTGTCATAGCAGGAAATACCAGTTTGCTGGGACAGAGTTACGGCCCTACGTTGTCTATCCTTGCGAGTCAGAACATGTCATATGGAGTGGGAGATGTTTGCTTTAGCGTACGGGGTTTTTTTATGATGTTTTCTCTTTTTAGTAGTTTTCCCTAATGCATCTTCAACCCCACTGCAACACAGCCTCAACCAAAACTGTCAAATAAAACTCCATGGTCCAGAAACTTTCATAGTCCTGTAGTTTTAGGCAATAGGAATTGAGGAAAAGAGAGAGGAATCTGGCACCGCCTCATACCTACACGTTTTCATCTAAGGCAGCACATTGGCTAAGGTCTTCTAGTGAAAAACAGGAATTAATTTTAATTTCTTTGGGCTGTATTTCACAGTTGTGCTGTGGTTGACCTTTTTAATCATTAAATATAGTTTTGCTGATTGAAAGCATCAGCATGCCAGCCCCCGTACGTGCTCTGTTCTGCATTCTCTTGGGTGTTTCTGCCGCAGACGCTGCTGGTATCTGTATGAATTTCTGCACAGCATGAGACAGACCTCAGCTGTCAGGGAGTGGGAAGCAGTGCAGGTTCGTTACTGCAGCATTCACTCCGTCTACTACATACCCTGCTTCTCAGCAGGAGCAAATCAGCCCATACGGTATGGAGGTGCCCCATGCTGGGTAGAAATATCTACAGCTAGCAGGGGGAGAGCTATAGTTACGTGTTTGCAGCCCCTGAGTTTGTTCATTCATAATTAGCTGAGGTATCTAACCCAGTGCTTACCATGGAGGATAACTTTTTGTGTTCCTTATTATCACTTATAAAATGTATAGTTGAATGTGTTTATTCATGTGTGTTTAATTACATGAGAATTTATACCATAGGCTACATTTCTAAACTGTAGAAGAGTTGTCAAGTCTGAATGTCCCTGATGAAAAGCAATGTAAATTGAAGCATAAGCTATTATATGTCAGTAGTGGAACCATTAAAATCTGATCCAAGGGCCACTGATATGAATAAAAGGATGCTCAATAACTTTATTGAGCATTGAATGAACCGTTAATGAGGCTCTCATATTAGGCAATGAACAGTAAAGATAAATGTAACTGTAATCTCTTGTAGAAGATGTTTATACCAAATTTTTTAAGTCATTGTTTTCTTTGCTGCTGAGACTACATGTCATCTCAAAAGGTGATACTGAACACACATGTTTCTTCCTTGATTACAGTGGTGACAGCCCCTTGAAAGACTCTTAGGGCTTCAAGCACTTCAAAAGTATAGGTATCTTCATCAGCTGCCTTCTTGACCAATAGGTCATTTTTTCTGTCTGAAGGAAATAATTTTATTCTGACAAAAATAATAGAAGGCTACTTGTTGGCAGGATTTAAATGGCTCTGTGGTATAAATAGACAAATGTGCATACCTAGAGAGTACCATTTTGCTTTGTTTTTGCTGTCAATGAAGGTAAAGGGGTTGATGACGCTGAAGAAGTGACCTGTTTTGCAGGAAGTAATAAAGGCAGCAACTCCGAAGTACAGTCCCTCAGCTCCTTCCAGTCTGATTCTGGTGATGATAATGGTAAGAAATGGTTTTATCTTTATTATGCTGGGGACAAAGCTATTTAACTCTTTTTCTAATATTATTAAAAACATTTAGGTGACGTCTAGAAAAGCCTTTAATGATGCTAGAAGTCAGAAAGTCCTGGGTTCAAACCCTCACTTTGTGTCCATTTTTTAAATTATGGGAACGTAATTAAAATCTTGATGCTTGGAGCTGTTGTATCAGTACGAAGCTTTACAGTGAATTAGAGGTGTGATACAGCAGTCACATTGTCAAGGTGTAAGTTGACTGATAGGTTGCAAGTGAAACTGTAGAATTTCTGTCATTTTCCCTCTTGGAAGAGGATGACTTCCATGTTTCATCATCAAATTAAAGGGAATTCGTGTGCCGTTTGCCAGCTCTCATTCATGGTCCCAGCAAAACTCTGGTGGTGCTCAGCAGCAACAATGAGCGGATGAGCCAGTCCCTGGTGGCTTGGCCTCTCCCTGGCGATCACAGCTCAGCGAACAACAGAGCACCATTAAATCCTTGCTCGGTGCGTGTTCGTTGCCCGCTCTCATGTCCTGCATCATTATCTCAGTGGGTGACATGGGCAGAGCCATACACAGCCTGAAAGAGCAAAGTCAGAGCAAACCTTTGTTCCTGCGGCCCACGTATGTTGAGCATCTGAGAAAAGGCAAGATGTTTCTGCCAGGGAGGGATGATGGATGTCAGGGAAGCCTTATTCAGATACACAGAAAAAGATTAGCACAAAGAAATTGCACTTAGTTTCCTCTGCCGCCAGTTAATGAACTGTCTGGAGACTCAGTTCCTCAGTCATGTCATGCAGCTCTTCCCTAGGTACTCCTAAATGTTGGAAAAAGCACTTAAAGAGAAGTGCACTTGCAGTTCCTTTTGGTTCAGCTGTGGCTGAAGCATCATGAGTATTTTTGTCAAGCTTTTCAGTGCTTTTCTGCCCCTGCACTCCCAAAAAACCCTTTAGTGTTTTTTAGCATAATTATTAGAATTATTATTATTTTAATAATGTATGTTTATATTATAATTACCTTTAGAATAATTATTCAGGTGGTGTATGTGATTACTTTTTATATCTCCCAAATTCTAATTAGGCTTTTCAAGCATCTGATCCTGCCCCCATTTAAATCAGTGACACGGTACCCACTGAAGCTGGACTGGACCTTCCGTGCCTGCTCATTTTTTGTGAAAGCTGTATTTAAAATACGGCCTTTAGAGATAACAATTCTAGTTCAAGGTCTGAACAAATCCGTATCTTCAGGGAGAATTAGGGAAGAAACTTAAATCATCTGAGTCGTTTTGCAGAGGTCAATGCAAGACTGCACGCTCTGGTTTTCTTGCAGTGGCAGGGAGGGTTTGCAGCGAAAGAGCTTAAAATATAAATACAGGCATAAGTAAGCATAGACATGCTCATATACATGTACGTAGGGGCTAATGGATATCCCTCTTGAAGCCATAAATCCTTCCCCTTCCTGTCATTTTAATTCTTTGTGCTTCACATCCCTGCAAAGGTTAAAAGGTTGTCAGTGAAACCACAACGAATGCGATTCAGCGTCCACACTCTTTGGGGAGACAGGACGGGCTCCTCCTTCTCCAAACTCCTTCCTCCAAAGCGCAGAGCAAGGCTGCCAGGGCTGGGGACAGGCTTGTGTCATGCTGCTGTACAAATGACTGTGCCGACCCTGTCCTGTGAAACTGGTTAATCGCTTCCTACTGGGGAAACCTGTTTTGTACCCGAGAAGCTCTGGGATGCCTCCCACTGAAGGTGTGAACAGCCCTACGCTGTTCAGTTTGTATCAGGTGCAGGCAGCCTCCACCCACCCTCTCCACGGTGCTTGGAGCCTTCTCTTGCTGGGTCAAGTAGGGGTTGTCGCACCGTGCAAACTCTTTTTGGGTGTGATTTTGAGCCTACTTTTATTTTTTCCACCTTATTTCTACTGCATTTAAATTGCTCAGCTCCCCTAGTCTTGCTGAGAGTAGTTCGCAGTATTTTTTGTGACCAAAAAGCAAAAATTTTTATTAGCCACAAATTTAAAAGAAAAAGTTGCCCACTTTCAGCAACAATATTTTGAGAAGTCATTTCAAAGGCAAGTTACAGGTTTCCATGGTAAGCTATTTTGAACGGGGCGGGGACGTGACAAAAGCATATTTTTAGGTTGCTGTTTCACTGCAGGCCAATGGATGGTTTTGCTGGGAAGTCCAAGAAAACTGCTATTGATGACACCAATGTTCTGTCCCCAAGCAATGCTGGAATTTGGGTATTGCCTTGCACTGAGCTGCCTGGGCTAGAAGTTTCCCTCCCTTCCGTGAACATGCTCTGCTCAGCTCCCAGCAGAGCCAACCCTTAGTTGCAATGAAGACTGTGCTGGCCCTGATTTTTGACCTTCTGTTTTTCATTCTCGGTTGTTCTCCTGTTACAGTTTACAGCTGCCCTCCACCTCTTTTACGCAGCAGCTAATTACATGTCGTCACTTACTTTTCCATAATGTTTATTATGCATTAGCCAATACAAGTCTCCCTTGTACAATTACCAATGCTGTTGATGGCATGAACATGCTGAACTTAGACATAGAACATGGTTTCTTTGGTTTATAGAGGCACTTTTTGTCAAGCCTTCACAAGGACTCAGGAAATTGGATGAGATCCTTGACCCCATGCCCAAAATTTAACAAAGATGTCAAAATAGTCAGCATATATTTAAATGGCACTATTACTGTTAACACGTTTCTTGTGACCTCTAAGTCTACTGGCCATGTGAAACAAAAAAGTATGTCTTGCCCAACATTTCTGGTCCCCTTCTTAGCCTGCTCCAAAGCCTGCTGTCTTTCTCATAATTAAAGACAAAGGAAAAGGGATGGATCCAGTACCCACTGGACTGGAGCTTTCCCTCTGGTTTTGGTGGGGTTTATTTCAGGTCCTCAAAGGCAGGGGTGTTAGTTGGTCCAAAATGCAGATCATCTAGAGGACCACACATTGTAGGCCTGTTGGAATCCATGTGAAACAATTGCGCAGTCTATATTAATTATTTCAAGGGAAAAGTACATTTTGGTAAAACACCTGCAGAGAACACACAAAGCATTTGTGAAAATATTCTGTCAAACACAGATCAAAATTTGAACCAAACCTACTTGGTTGTGTCCTCCTAATTTTAGCAGTCCTGCTTAATGTCCCAGAGGTATTACCTGGCACGGCACAAACAGTAAATAAGTAAAACATTCCTCTTAGGAAATAGATTGAGCTTAGCACCATTTCAGATGGTGTGATGGTCTAAAAGATAATGATCCCTTGGAGCGCATGGCACCATCTCTGGAGACCTTTAAGCAAGAATGAATTAGAAATTAGTGTCAGGTAGACAAGATAATGCTTTGGTTAATTGAATCAGCTGGCCAGTCTGCTTGAATTTATGAGGTGATACAGATCATCCCATATGCCTTTCTGGAAATACTGGTTTGGAATTTATCACCACTCTGAAAATGTATGGGATTATCTGAAATGAAATGTCCTGCAACCCACTGCATAAATCATGAATTGGTCAGCAGCCTTTTTTTTTCCAATGTCAGTTCTGTCTGTTTGAGAGAATTTATTGTGGTAACATATGATCTGTGTTTTAAATACTAACCTGAAGCTGTCCTTCCCCTCCCTTTATTTTCTGCTTTCCCTCCCCTGCAAGCTTCCATAGTGACTGTCATACAGCTTGTCAACAATGTAGTTGACACTATAGAAAATGAAGGTATTTAAATTTTTTTCTTTCTTGTTATGCAACAATGCTTCCTGTTTTCATTGTGAAACATTCCAGCAGAACCTCACTAATCTACACTGACCAGCAAACCCGTGGCAGGGATGGGGATTTGCAGATCAGCATATTCACCAGCAAACACGAGAACACCGGAGTGGTATACCACAAAATATCTGTGGGTAGTTGGAGGTGGTAGAAAAGGCATCAAGGCCTTCATCCTCTTCTGTTCAAGTCAATGTTTTTGCTTGCTTATTCCCATTGCCTTCAGAGAGAATAGGATTAGGTTGCTAAGGGAGCCAAATCATTAAGGTTATCCCGGCTGCAGAGCCTGGGAAACAGGAGAAGACACAGGAAGGCTGTAAAGTATCCCAGGCTGCAGCAAAGCTGGGCTATGCACTCCAGCGGGACCATGTAGAGAGGAGCAAAGTGGTGGTAGGCAGGTGGCTGGTTTCTCCCAGGTAACACAGTGTCAGAAGACGTGTGGACACAATGCCATGGATGCCACGTAGCAAGGTAGCCTGCCTGCCACTGCCTTTCCCCTGGGGTTGATGTGCCCGTTGAACAGAGCATGGCAGTTGGGTCCAAGGACCCAACACTCAGCTCTGCACTGACCGCCTGGGTAACCTCAGGCACATCATGTTACAAGTGGACTGGTTTCCCTACTTGTAAAACAGGAATATCACTATTTTCCTCTTCCATAAAACACTGAGGAAATGTGATGTATCACAGATAAACATTACTTTTATTTATTTATACAACACTTATCCGTGGGAAAATGTCAACTCAACATCAGCTCAAGTTATCCACAAGTCCAAAATTTCATCTGTCTTTAGCAAATTTAAGCCAGGTTTTGCAGACTTCAGCTAATCCTGTCTACATAATGCTTAAAGATGATCAAGTAAATTATTTTTGTGAGACGACTGATTTTTTTCTTGAGCCAGTGTCATGGTAATTTTGAAAAGCACTTTTATTCCTAGCTAGTGATGGCACTTGAGTATTTGTCTATAGTATATTTACTGGTTTCCTGAAGTGTAAGAGTGCCATTCTTCTCACTATCAAATAAAATGAACTAGCCAAGGTTAATTCAAAAAGAAAGTCCCACTCAAAAAGTAAGAAAACAACCTTGAAAAGAAAGTACAGACACTGTAAATGACCTTGCCTTCCTAAAGGAAAGCTTAAGCAAACACATTGGCTCCCCATCATGCTTTACAGGTCAGAAAAAGCAAGTCTGGCAGCAGTTTCAAGAGGCTGTCACTGAAAATGCTTCGCCCACTTCCCAGTTCCTTATATGAGACATGAACCTTGCATGCTCTGCAGCGGAGCCGGTGAAAGCGGTGAATCGTTAGCTGCACTGGAGCTCCCAATGCATGGCGGGCAGAATTGCTGCCGCAGAGCCGCGGCAGGACGGGGCTCCTTCCCCAGGGAGCTGCCGGGGGTTGTGCAGGTCAGCAAGTTAGTGAGGTTCTCCTGGATCCTGAAACCACACAGCTCGGAGGGACCTGACGCATCTCGGGTGCAATGTCATTACTCTGACCGAAAGACAGCAAAATCGACTTTACAAAAAAGAGAGACATCAAGAAGGAGAAGAGTGGTTAGGGCCGGTTCAGACACTGCTGCTAAACCTGCAGTAGCCCCAACCCTCCTCACCCCAGGTGACGCAGAGCAGGTAGAAAGCTACTGTCTGGCTAATGAGCTAACGAAGAAATCACCATCATCACATACCCCATGTGGTGATAGGCAAGGGCAAGAGTGGTGTTAATAAAGGGCAAGAGTGGTATTAATAGATGGAGGCCTGGAGAATAGTCTTCTCTGCCCTCGTCTGTAGCTGAGCCCCAGAGGTTAAGTACTGTAATGCCATAAAGGTCTATTTATCTGGCCAGACCTCCTCCAGCAATGCAGTCCAGAGACCTTGCCCAGTGACTTCGTGCATGAAGCCCAATAACATGTGGCTGAACAAGAGCATCTCATCTAGAAAACGCTGCAGCTTATTCCCTGCTCTTGTCTCACATAAAACCTCTTTCCTTGCTCTCTCCCCCACCCCCGCACCCTCTCCATACTGGAATGCCTCCCTCCCCACCGGCTAGCATGGCAGTGCAGGTGGGAGGTGGGTATGGGGTTACGGGGCATTGTAGCTGACGGCCCCATTAAATGGCTTTGTATTCTATTCTATTCAGGTTCTTATACCGTGCCCATCACCATGGTATCTGAGCCCAGGTGGGCCCAGATTTGTTTGAACCGGCCCTGAGAATGGTAGATTCTTATTTTTCTGTTTCAAAGTGAACAAGTGAGAGAGAAATGTACTTTGCAATTATAAACCGTAGAGATGGTCGATAGCCCTTTTTGTATTAAGAATTCCATCTCTAATGTAATTCCTATCTGTTCAGTGAGGGTAAATAATTAAGATATGAGAGAAAAGGAATATAATACATGACATAATCGTTTCTTTATGTATGTCTGCATTTGACTGGGCAAGCTTATCTTGTACGCTAAAATAAAGAACAATTAAAAATCCTATTAAAAAACACCGAGGCAGCTGTACTTTAGAAATATGCATGCAGAGTCTTGTATTTTCACGTGTAATACTATGCTGGTAACAAACTCCGAGTTACCAGTTTTTACTTTTTGCTTTGTATCTGACAGTGTCTGTTATGGATCAAGGACAGAACTACAACAGAGGTGATTTTTCTGAGACACTTTCTTCCTGTTGGACTGGGCTGGGGTGGGCAGGGCACCAACTTGATCTGTTTTTTTCTTGAACTGCTTTACGTGTTCTCTTTTGTTTGAATTGTGTTGGGTTCAAATGCTGCATGAGAATGGCCAGCCACTTTTTGTATTTCAGGATCCAGTTTTCAGTCGATCAGATTATTTGCTTGCATACTTTCTTTCTTGAAACAAAGTCATTGGAGGTGGAAAGGGAGACTAGATGAGATACCATAAGCATGCTGACTTCATTTATAGATTTTTTTCAAATAACTGTGAAAAGCATTAACTCAGAGATTTTTGTCATTTTGATTTCTTGGACTCATAGTTTCTAATACAACCTAGTAGCATCCTAAAAAGCGAAATGCCTGAGAATGCCCGTATTTTGGTTCTTTGCTCGTTTGCATTAGCATCACAATACAATTTTGTCCTCCTCCCCTGCCCCTGCGGTCAGAGCATGGCTGACCTGTGTCCGTGGCGCATGCTGTGATTTGAACATGCTGTGAGGACTAAGAGGCGAGTGCATGCAGGATGCTTTGTTTTCATTAGCGGTCCCATCCTAACAGAGTGCTGTGGTTCTCTTTCCCGCTGCAGCGTATCATTGGGATACCTCTGACTGGATGCCAAGTGCTCGCTTGTCCGACATTGAGGAAGTGCCCAACTTTGAGTCGGCAGATGGAGGCTCGGCTCATCATGGAAGTACCAGAGAGCTGGAGACAGATTACTACCTTGGTGGCTACGACATTGACAGCGACTACCCTCCCCCTCACGAAGAGGAGTTTTTAAGCCAGGACCAGTTACCACCTCCTCTTCCAGAGGATTATCCGGACCAATATGAAACCCTCCCACCCTCGCAGCCGGTCTCAATGGCAAGTACGCTCAGCCCCGATTGCAGGCGGCGGCCGCACTTCCACCCTAGCCAATACCTCCCTCCTCACCAGTTCCCCAACGAGACGGACACCGCAGGGTCTCAGACTGGGAACGAATTTAGTACTTTTGCTGTTGGCCCAAGCCAGAACACAGAAAACGTTAGTGCAGGTAAGATGCCCTTATCCTTGCACAACTCTCTAGATGCCTCCTCCTCTGGCATCTCAGCCAGCTGCGGCTTTGATGACTCCGAAGTAGCCATGAGTGACTATGAAAGCGTGGAGGAACTCAACCTAGAAAATGTTCACATTCCATTTGCGGAGACCCAGCATCAGACACAAGTGTAAAGGAAGCTCCCTTCTTCTTCTTCTTCCTCCTCTTCTTCTTCTTTTTCTTTTTTTGTCATTTGGTCAAGTTAATAGTATAAATATTGAGAAGAAATTTTGCTGAAGGTGTATCTATATATATTGGGCAAGGCAAAAATACAGTATAACCCATTATTAACTTGTTCAGAAATGATACTGTATGTGCAGACACGAAGAGACCAATTGTGATAAGTATTATACATCACAAAATTGTTACAGACAATCTGGAGAGTATGTACCTTCTATTTATTACCAAGAGTGAAACTCAGCTTTTGAGGCAGGGGGAAACAATAATTGCTAAATAGTTTCTTTCTCTCCCCCAAAGTTTGATTTTTTTTTTTTCTTTTGGTATTGTATTATTAAAAGTGTTACAGTGTTATGATCTCCCCACAGTATTAAGGAACTGGTATGGATCATTCCAAGATGCACTGTTGCATGAAATTTTATGTCAGCGAAAGAGTGAAAGCAATTGATCTCTGAGGCTGCTGTGTACAACACGTCAGATGGCTGAAAAAACAGCATTTACAAATTGACCTATCGAAGACAAGCAACCAGTCATTTGTCCATAAATATTTATCTATAGTTTTGTTTGTTACATAGCATTTCATTCTACTTTGTGTGCATATAGAGCAACATATATACAGCATATATTTACTCCAAATTGGCCTACTTTGGTTGCCGTTTTTTAAAACCTGACGTCAGGTGCGCGTGCATAACTTCACCTGTGAGGACTTCTAGAAATGTCAGAGTTTGGCTCAGTAGTGGCCCAGTTTTGCCCCAGCTGCGTGTGCACAGCCTCCCTTGACTTCTGTATGCAACGCGACCGTGTATCTGAAAACATCGGGAAACCTATCTATCTACAAAGCGCTGCTGATTTTTTTGAAATTCCTTGCTTGGGCAATCACCTCTTTAACAGCAGTCATCGTGCTACAATTATTGCAGTAACATTAGTTGCGATTAAGTTGCATATAATGCTTCTGTAACCTCAAATCGTTAGCTTAACATCATTTGGCAAATGTCCATCCTAAGAGTTTACGGGATGAGTTCTCAGCTGCTGTAAACTGCCTCAGTGGGTGGAACCGCACAGATGGGCTGTGGCCAAAGATCTGGCCCTAGGTTTTCCGCTGGATGTGTGATTTCTTAGGATTTGAGGACTTCCAAAGGTTGTTTGCAAACTTCAGAACATTGTTGTGGGATGAGGAAAACCACGGCATCAGTATGCTTTATGCTTCCCTCAGCCTGATTGGAGTAAATGGCCTTTCACACTGATTTAGTCTGCGCAGCTAAGTGCGGTATGGAAACATGGGATTTTCACTCAATGTATTAAAGCAGATTATATAGATGCCCATTGCTCGCTGCTATGAAAATGTTTTTACCACTGCATATTACAGCATCTGTATACCTTGTACAGTGAACGTGAGTCTGCAGGCTGCATTACTGCTGGGGTTTCATCCATTCCTTGCATGGCATAATTCAGTCATTCTGGAAAGCTATTGAATATATAAATCATTGTTACAGATGAACAGATTCATTAACAGGTTTCCGCTGCTGCTTTCCATGTCCTGTCTCTTGGTCAAACATCTTAACTGAATAGTTTCAGCAGTTGTATTCCCGGGCAACATGTTCTTGACTGACTTGAGTTTCACACAAAATTAAATTGTGGGCCATTTCTTGACATACAGGAAGTGTTTATTCACAAATTGCCCCCAACAAAAAGAAATTATTAATAGAATGTAATTTAAATAATTGCAGCTTGTAACACTTTTAATAAAACAGGATTTCTAAAATTCTCAGTGTAGGTACGATATGTTGCTGCTTCCCTCCAGTAGCTTATATAGCTGTGAAAGACTGGTGTAGATATTTTCTTTGCGATCATGCGGCAATTCTTTACTAGAAAACAGCTCATTTTACAGGTACATGAATAAATTGAGTCAACTCCTAGAAAGGCCATGTACTGCACATACAAGTATTATCAAGTACTTGTCTGCAAATAGTTTCTGTCTATTGAATTTATGAATGTCACTTGGTCTTCTCAAAGTAAACATGCTTCTGTAACAGTGATATATTCTGAATGTGCTCATGGTATGTTTCAACCCCTTTTCCCTGCTATTATCCCTGTGTTTTCAAGAAGAAAAAAAATGTGGAAATTTGTATCGCGATTGCAAGGAACTGAGGGATTTGCCAATAAGCCATGAAATGGTTTGGCAAGCCTAGAGGCACAGCTAGAGGATGACTTGCATTGTTCATAAAGTCCATGTTGCAGGAAAGCAGATGCAATTAGATTGATGTCTTTTCAAGAGTAGGAACTCCTCAGTTTGAAAAACAAAGCTGCAAAGTTAGCTGCCCTTTTAAAGCTGGTATGACTTTCTGAGAACATAATACTCTCTTAGCATCGGGCTGCAGTTTACATTGGCTTTGCTCCTACTCAGTTTTGGTGTGAGACATTTTTATCCATTATGCAATTAGTTCTGTTTGAGCCCCCAGCTAGTTATGAAGTGTACTTGTCATCTGTGTTCCGTAGTGAAAATTCTTGACTAAGCCTGAGGCACCGATATCAACACTTTACTGGGACATATCAAAAGTGTCATGAGGGAGAACACCATGGGAGCCTAGCAATTGCCATACAAAAAAAAAAAAAAAAAAAAATCAATGTTTCTTGCCAAGCTTGTTGCCTCAGTAATATCTTGTTGGTAGTGAGTTTTACTGGTAAAATATGCATAAATACAATGTATAGTACTTTTTCTGTTTTGATGTTGTTGCCATTTCATTTCACTGAACGCCTACTTATTAAAGTACTGTTGGGAAGGTGCCAAGGATCACCCGTTCAGCCTTCTCTGTCCCACTCATGATTTCTATACCTCAGTATCTCCTCCCCTCCAAATCAAATAGGCCTAATCCATCTTCAAACAGATGCCCCTCTGTGAATATTGGTACTTCTGTGGCCTTTCTGGTTTTGTTTTGGCTCTTTTTGATAGTGATAAGACCTGAATGCAGATCTTAAGGTAAAATACCTCTTAGGGAGTAAGGTTCTCATATTAACATCTCTTTTGTTAATCCAAACCATTCTATTTTCTTTTTAATTACTGCTCTACATGGACAAGCTGTAATCTCAACCTGGAAGATAACACCACATTCATAACCTCATGTAAGAATTAGGGTTCATATTATTCCATCCAATATATAATCCTTTTTCTGCCATATGATTTTTATATTGCTGCTGCTGTCATTGCCAAGTCCCTGGTTCTGTTAGAGCTTCCCCTCACATCTCTGCTTATCCTGTGTGTCTGTATTTCAATTCACATTCCTGTAGATGGCTCCACTATACGGTATTTTCTTTCAAATCATCTGTAGGAGAGATTTCATAGACTTAATAAAGTACTTTTGAGTATCAGCGCATTATAACTCTTAGGATCAAGACAGTCTTTGCTTTTTGTAAAGAAACAACAAAAGAAATAAGGACCTTATTAAAATGCAAATACATGCTTGTATCAGAAACCACTGACTTTGCCAAGAGTGTAGGAGTTTGAGTAAAAGGGTGCTTGTTGTCTGCGTTTTGATCAGGTTGAGAATGTCGTGCGCACTGACAGCCTTTTTGGTAACTCTGGCAACGGAAAGAGCCTTAAAGTGATGGGTAACATAATTTATGCTGCCAATACCAGATTAGCAGCCTTGTGCAAAAGGAAAAATTAGGCTTAGGTACCTTTCTTAAATATGTTAATTATTTTGCCTTTGTATGATAAACATCCTATTAAAAAAAAAAAAAAAAGGCAAAACCCCCCAACAAAACCATAGATACTGGATGTGATTGCTGAGCCAGTGCCTTATAGCAGGGCAAAGGGCTAAAGGTGACACCAAGGAGCTGCAGCATCATTTCCCTCCCATGGGACCAAAGGGACAGCCCCACTAGAAGACCACCGTAAAGTTGCCTTCCTATAGAACCCTCTTATAGGAGACAGCATATGAAGGCAACCGGGAAGATGTTGCAATGCAGAGATGCATTACATGTGATTTCCAGGCAGTCAAGCTATTTTCCTAAAGCTCGGTGACATCCTTGATCCTGAATTATCCCACAGGTTTCCTTAGCCTATGGTTGCAGTACAAGGCTGGAAGGAGTCAAAGGCTTCTCACTGCTACTGTTTTCCTGAAGCCAGAAAGTTGTGTGCTCCATCTCTCAAGCAGGCTCTCCCCCTCTGCATGTCCCACAGACAAGTTAAATTTTGGTCCTCAGAATTTTTTTCTCCCCTTTTCTAAATTCCCTAGTGCAGTCTGAAGCAGTGCTAGCCTTGATGTATTGGTACCCTCTCCAGTCAGAAACTCAGACTGGGTGCAGCACAGTGAGGAAATGCATGCCGCTGAAATGCTCGTTACTGGGGAGGCAGCAGCCTGTTGTCTCTGCGAGCCAGGCAGGTGGTAAGCTTTGAGAATATGACATAAAAATGGTTGCTCTTGGCTCAATATAAATTCTATTGTAAAGAGAAATGTGGGCTGGACAGGACAAATGGTTAAGAACACAACTTTACTCCTCATCGAGCTCCTGCTTGAAAAACCTGGATGGATGGTATAGTGTATCCTTATAGGCAATAATAATTGCAGTCGTGGGAGAGAGAGTTGAAGGTGCCCTGGACCAGTTCTACTAAGCTTCATTTGAAAGGTAGCATTCTTAATAATGGAGAAAACCATCTATTTAAAACCAATAGTGAAAGTATATCTGTGCTTTGTTGGTATTTTTTGGAGCTATTCACTGAGTAATAATGGACGTTTCATAGGTTTCCAATGAGAGAGCTACATCTTCAGGTTCATTCTCTGATGGTTTACCGTCATTTACCATGCAGTAAAACTGCTTTTTGCCTGTTTGCATCTCTATTCCTCTCACCAAACTGTGATTTGAGCTTTAGAAATTTAGACTATTGCCCATTACCCATGGCTTTTAGCCTGTGTTTCATAAACTTGACATTTAACACCTCCATTATCAGAAGGGCCAT